CTCTCCCTAACTCCAACCTGGCTCTCCCTGGTCCGACCCACAGGAGCAGAGCAAGACCCCAAACCACCAGCGGCAGCAGCCACCTGAGGGAGACAGGGAGAGCCCGGGAGTTTCCCAGGGCCCCGGGGTTGGTGCGGTTCATCCCGATGGTAGGAGAGAATTAAACAAGGCCCGCCACAGCCGGCAGGCCCGGCTCCCAGGGCAGTGTGCTCCCCTCAGGTCACAGCGGGGAGTACCCCTGGGGTCCTGTCCCCACTCCCCACCCTGCCCAGGGCAATGAACCTGGGGGCCTTCGTTCCTCCAAGGAGCCCAGGGCAGGGCAGGGGACCCCAGCCCCAGCCCCAGCCCAGCCTCCTGCTCTGACCGGGTCATCAGCAGGTGTCCCAGCCCCCCTAAGGGGCAGGCAAGGACTTGGGCCAAGGATCTGGGGGCCGAGGGGACATGGGTGTGTGTGTGGGGCCGCGGACCCAGCCTGGTGATGTCCTCAGGCCAGTCCCCACCTCTGCGCGTGTCCCACTGGCCCAGGCCCAGCTCTGATGGCAGTGGTGCCCCCAGGGCAATGCTGAGGGAGGGGCAGGGGTGCAATCAAGGGCTCTGTGGGTGTTGGGACTCAGCCTGGGTAAGCTTTGACCTTGGGGAGGGAGGGCGACGTGCCGGGGAACCTCCCGGAAGGGCGCCCCGCCCCCGCCCTCACCCGGGCTGGGCACAGGTTGCGTGGGGCAACATCCGGGAAGGCTTTTCCCGTCATCAGGGAAGGAAGAGCCTCTTCTGGCATCAGACACCTCATTTCCGCAGCGTCCGCCTCCCCCTTCCCCATGGCCACTGACGCTCAAGGCCCCAGGGTCCCGCCCAGGACGCCGGGCGGAGGGCAGCTGGCAGTGGCAGGGCTGAGCCCGGGGTCCCCGGAGCCTGCTCTCTGGGAGCCGCTGATGCTGCCTGACTTCAAGGAGGTGGTGGGCGAGGGCGGCGCTGAGGAGGCGTGTCCGCAGCCCTCCCCGCGGACCCCAAGTGCAGGGGCCCCGACCCCTGCTGCCCGTCTCCAGGACACACAGAAAGGGGCTCTGGCCGTGGAGGTGGGCGTCCGCCCCCTTGG